CCCCAAAACCCCAAAACCCCAAAACCCCAAAACCCCTTGTTCAAGGATTCTAAAGTGAGGAGTTTATTTAATTTTGGTTACTCAAGCTTAATTACTATTCGTTCTTCTAAAATCAGGATGAAAAACATTCCCAAAAGGGGCTCTTTTGTATTCTAGCTTACATTCCTGCTATAAGGCAAAGCCTCGTGTTGTCTAAGTATTTTTGAATAACTCTACTACAAAAGTTTCATTCAAAGTGGTATTTCCCAGAATGAAAAATAGTATTTACATTTTGATAATATTATTAAAGCCCAACCAGACGTTTGAAGTAATGAGATTTTTAAAGGAGACACTTCAGTTTAAAAATAAAGTTATTTACTTTTTGTTCTTCATTGTGATCACAAGGGACCCCATAATTCCTACCCCTATTGCAACAATTTGGAAGGAATTCAGGTAAGATCCGAAGAAAATACTGCCAAATATTGCCTGAATGATGGGTTCGATGTTTCTCAACGCATAAGCTGGCCCTGCAACTCCTGTGGAAGTGGCATGGAATAAGAATATCGAAGCGAGGCCATTGAGCACGCCTCAAACTATTCCGAGGATCACTACTTCTGGAATAATTCCCATTTCAATGGTGTGCTTCAGGCAAAAAGGCATGAAGAGAGCTCCTGTGAACAGATATGAATAAGTCATATAATCAATTGTATGGAATTTTAACTTTTTGACATAAAGCTTGATTCAGATGGTCCTCAAGCTATATATGAGGGTTGTGAGAAGAGCGAAGAACACTGGTAATACTGTTGATACTTTATCTACTTCTTCTCCATATATTTCCATCTTTTCATTGGATCCTGAGGTTTTGGAAAAGACTATTAGTAATGCTCAGCCAATGAGAAGAAACATCCCGATTAAATGAAATTTAGTTAATTTCTCTCCGAAGATGAAGAAAGAAATCATCGCTACAAAGATACTACTAATGGAGAATACAGTTGTGATAGCTCCTTGATTGATCTCAGCATAGAGAGCATATTTGAAAGACAATATAGCTGTTAATCCTCCAGATATCTTGGTAACAGAGTCCATTAAAATTGCTAATACTGCAGCCCATCTGAATTTTTCTGTATCAGGATCCCAGAAGGGAGACTCTTGTTGGGAAAAATAATAATTCCCAGAATCTTCATCCTTGATCCTATATGCACTTCTCTCCCTTCTCTGTTGGATAGTTCTGATGATGAATATGGCAAGAGCGAGGTTAAATCCCCCAAAAAGAGTCAGTTCTCTGACATAGAATCCAAAATGAGAGATTCTTACCACTCAGAGATTGCCAAACCCAAAAAGGAGCCCTGCAATGACTCCTGAGAGAATCCAGCTTCGGCTTTGCGACTCTTCCTTTTCAGGTGTTTTCAAGCCTTTGGAATCACAAGGGATTGCTTCAGCAGATTTGGAGAATTGGATACTTCCAACACTGGTGTAGTGTGCCTCGCTGTCTTTATTCATAAAATATTTTTATTGGTTCAGGTGGATACCAAATTTCAATATTTTGGGACCAAAAGGGGTTTTGGGGTTTTGGGGTTTTGGGGTTTTGGGG